TTTTGCCCGCGGAAATTTAGTCAAATAGATACAAGATAAAACAATTTGAACGAAAACTGAAAGACTTGTGGGGTCGTTTATTACTCTCGCCATTCGTGTCCATAATATCATTATTTTAGTGTAACACGTAGTATTTAAATTGGATTTTTAGAACATAAATTAATTCAAGAATATGATTTATATTTTAAGTATAAAAATTATAAGTATGTTATGTTAAACATTTAAAAATAATTTTCTATTTAATAAAGAATATGTAAGAAAATTAATAAAATTAGTTTGTGGAAGAGTTAATAAACTTTTCCATATTACATTAAATAAAAAAAAATTTGTAATTTTAAAAAAATTAATATATACATTTTCTCTCAAGAATTTATAATAAAAGGAATCTCTATTTAATATTTTTTTGTTATTTCCAGTGGAATTTTTCGATTTATCCTCGACGTGCGTGAACTATCGTACTCGATCGCATCGAAAGGGCTGAAGGCTCGATGGTACTCGGACGATACCGGGTGTCGTCCATTTCTCGCAAGCGCGTCACACGTGAGTGTTAATGCGGATGGTCGGATGGGAAAATTGACGTTCGGTCACCGTTGTTACTGGTTCAACGACGAGGTACGAGAACTACTGGAAAAATATGAACGTATGGACACCTGACGTTGCCTGTCCGACTCGACTTGATGTTCAGTGTCGTAAGTTCGATCCGGTCAGTGGGCCATTCAGCATGGACAACGAGCGCAGTAAGTTATATTATTATACGCTAGCCTGTCTTCCTGACTTTTCTTTTCCGGTGCACTGTTGTATACATATATAATCCGGTAATGTTCCCGTAGCCGGTGATATTTCACTAAAGTTGAAGTCAAAAAAAGTTTCTATAGCCTCTTATGGTACGACCTGTTATTCTTGTTTCTACGGCCTGTTATTCTTGTTTCTACAAACTGCTACAATAGTAACGGACGTAATAATATAATTGTTAATAAATATCAATATGCAATAATTAATCACTTGTATTCGCTTTTTAATTGTTATAATAATATTAAAAATTATATAAAAATATTATATATAAGAATAGTTGTAATTCCGTTTAAATTAGAAGAAATAAAAAAATTAATAATCGATTTTGATTCCAAGAAAAAATTTTGTCTTGCTTTTTTAAAATTTATTGAACACAAAGAGGACCTTATTTTAATAGTAGTACGACAACAAAACCAGACTGTGTAAAAAATAACAGTTTATTAATAAATGTAGATTGTTTGATAGTTTAGATGTTTCAAGATAGTTTAGAAACACATTATTAAAAAAAAATAATAAAATTTTTAAAATATTAGTTTTTTCCGATACATTATATTTTATATCATAATTTGTTTCACTAGTTATTTTCATATTTTCTCTTTTCTCAGAGGATAAAGGATCCGTTTACTCGGTCGGAAGCCGTAATCACCTGGTGTCGATAAGATCCAGAAAAACCTTGTAAGTAAGAAAGTAAGATTGACAGTAACAGTTTCTAGCCAATAATAGTTCATTAAATCGTTTTATTAAATTGAGAACATATACGTTTGCTTGTTGCAAGTAGATCAATCCGAGTTCCCGCTAATTAGATTTGTTATATTTGCAGCTTTAAGAAGCAAAATCAAATTTCCAATCTCTTGGTGATATTTCTTTGCTTCTTGGTGGGTTTTTTAGCTATAACAGTTCTGATGCTCGCTATACTTTGTAAGTTTCTTCTCTAGCATATCTTATTTATCATAGGTGAATTATATTAAAAATATATCTATAAAAAATATAATATATGTGTGTGGGTGTGTATATATATGTATATTTATATATTTATATATTTATATATTTAGGATCCGCCGAAAAAAAAAATTTTTTTAAAATCGATTAGTAATACCTTACAAAAGTTAATTATGGACCTCAATATATAGTCTGGGTAAAATTTTATTGAAATCCGAAATATCTTCAGGTTGCCCCTCAACTTTGAAATTAGTAAGTTTATGCATTTCTTACAAATTTTAAAAGCAACTGTATTTTCTTTACACCAACACAATCGATTCATCTCATTATTCTGTGCCTAAAAATATTAGGTATCATTATCAAGAAATCAATAGTTTACGAGATATTTTATATTGGGTATATATTGATAATATGACACGATAAAGTATAAAATATTGATCTCGTAAAATATTGATTTTTCGATAATTTTACCTCAATACTTTTATATGCAGAATAATTAGAGGAATCGTATTATGTAAAAAATATGTAGTTCCGTTTCTATAAAATCTAACCGGTTCTATAAATATCTATGTGATCTTGATTTTATCTTAACGACGCCATCTAAAATAAAATTAATGATATTTTCTTATGTACCTCCCCAAACCGTACAATTTTTATTTGAAACATTTTTCCATATCTATATTTTTCGAAAAATCTTAATGTATTATTTAAGAACATATTTTGGATCCGTCATTTTGAAATGTATATTTCTGATCTCGAATTCGTGTTCAGCGACCAAAAAACAGCAGGTAATACTAAACTGTATTAAAATTCAAATATTTTTTCAAATTTTAACACATCTATGAAGAAATGCATAAACTTACTAACTGCAAGGTAAAGGGGCAACCTGAAGATTTTAATCGATTTCGATGAAATTTTACCCAAACCATATTGAGATCCATAGCTAACTTTCGGGGGATATTACTAATCGATTTAAAAAAAAATTTTTTCGATCCACCCTAATACACGTGTAATGCACCCACTAATATACATGATGTATATATGTATATGTATATCTATATTATTGTACATATACATTAAAATTATATATAAATATACTATATTTTTAATTCTCTAACAAGTAAAATATGAATTGCTTTGATAAGAATATTCTTCAATACATTTTCATGTGCTATAAAAATAATACATTTAAAAAAGTAATGCCTACAGATTAGAATCAGAATAGAGAAATTTGTTAAATGTCATTGCATTTGTTATCTTATGTCTTAATATCATATATAAGTCCTTCAATTGTAAGCTAACGCTATCAAAATTATATTATTAGTAGGTATAACTCTTACAATAGCGCATAAGACAACCGAAAATACTCCTCATTTATAAAGAAATGACTCAACCCTTACGATGCTTTAATCTTTCTTACTTCTTTGCAATTACATACACCTTGAGAAATTAATGGGGAATCATTTCTTCGTATCTTCGATCGCCATTGACATTGTGTGAATATTTTAACGAATGGCTGTGGATCGTTTAACGTAGCACGTATGTTGTTCCAAGGAATAATTTTATGTTGCATGCTTATAATTATTATGAGACAATTTATAAACATTTCACGTGTATCTTTCACGGTCATGACATTTACAATTAATTGATATTATTTTTTAAAGTATATTCCTTATTAAAGTATCTTCTAGAATTATACTGTACATCCTTTTAACCATAATTTTCTTAGCAAAATCTGAGATTAGTTTATCCATTATGAACATATCGGAAAACTTTTTATTTTAAAATAAATATTGAAATATCTTTTAGTTATATTATAATTTTAAAGATACGCAAAAGTATTTAATACATAAAAATATAATAAGTATATGTGTAAGTTACATCAATATATTGAAAATTTGGGAAGATATGCTAAACTGACAAAATTAAAAAGTATAATTCACAATATTTCTAAGATATATTCTGTACATACTATTTGTTGCAGATGCGTGCAACAGTATAGTGAAGATATGTGACAGCGAGGACTGCATGCGAATAGGTGAGTAGTATATATATATTTATTATACTAACGGAGTGATTATATATAATTGTGCTATTATTCACACGAACGAACAATTACGCAGAACAAATAAAAATAGAAATGTATGGAAATTATACTGTCCTAGAAACAATTATTTATTCTTGTTTGTTCACCTAGCGGCTAGTTTGAAGGAATCTATGGATGTGTCTGTAGATCCTTGCGACAATTTTTATCAGTGAGTAAATTTATCGTTCCGTGCTATTATATCGCGTACCAGAACGACGTATGATGCGCAATTATGTCACACGCGAAATTCCTCTATATATATCACTCTGCAAAAACCATTATTTCTGCGTTACGCAAATACTGCACACACGTATTCGCGTGTTTCACTTTCACTCGTCTATGTACGTAGGACATTGATCGTTTCACAAATTTTTATATTGAATTTCACTGGAGAGTATAGGTAATTGTAACACCGATATCTCATTATTATACATTATTTTTGCGATGTGTAAAAAATTTTCTTCATTCTCTTCTCTTTAGGTACGCGTGCGGCAGATGGTCGGAGAAGCATCCTATCCCGGATTCCAGCCTGACGAATTCCTGGTTCGACGAGCGCAGCGATCGCATGTTCAGGAAGATCAGAGATCTGCTAAATGTCAATATGTCTGCCAGTGAGATACCGTGGGCGGTGATGCAGGCCAAGACTCTGTTCGCCAGCTGTATGGACGTGTGTACGTTTTTGTTTAATTAGGAAGATGTCATTATGTCAATCAAAGAAATAAATATATAATACATTTGGACGTCGATAACTCGAACCTCTACAACTCGAAAACCTCTAAAACGAAAATTTTGTTCATTCCCTTCTGCTCCACTGCGGAAAATATCTATAAATCGAAATAAAACTTAAACTCAAACTATTTGTCAGGCATTTAGATATATATTTTACCTCTGTAACTCGAATTTAAAATAGTCAGATCTCTACAAGTCGAAGTTCATCTCTATAACTTTCATTGTCGCTACAAAATTGTAGCTATGTATAATCGTGAGTAATAGCCTAGTATTTTGTTTCATGATTACATTTATCATATGTATGCAATAAATAATTCACTTAAATATTGATTTCTTTTCCTTTAAAAGCCATTATAATCGGAAAATTATAAACTCTCATACAAAGCCTCCGTAAGTCGAATTTTTATATGTTAATTAACCCTCTTTTACTCGAATTTCGATAAGTCAAAAACTTTATAACTCGAACAGTTTTTCTGGTCTCTTGAGATTTGAGTTATCGAGGTTCAATAACTGTAATATACAAGTAATAACACTGTTACAAAAAAACTTTTTTTCTCTTTCAGAAGTTCAACCATATACACTGAGAAAAAAATTGATTGTATGAACTAAATTTATATAGTTATTTGATCCAATAATTAATTCAATAATTCTATAATTGCACAAAGAAACGTATAGTTTATTCATGTCAACTATCAAAAAATTTTAATTATGAATTAACTAAACCAACTCAATTAAATTATTTTGTTCGAAATACTAGTAGTATTTATATGTGTTTGCATGCTATTTAGTTATTCAAGTAATATATTTGTTTAAATTCCAAGTATCGAACTGACTAAACGATGA